TTGAACCCCTTTACTCTTTGCAATAGCTTTTCCTTTTTTAATTTAAATTTTGTTGTTATTTATTATTATTTTTTGCAGGTGTGTCTAAGATTTGTGGACGTGTGTGGAGGCCAGAACACAGCATTGTATGGTAGGTTCTGTCCTCACTTTTACATGGAGTATAGAGATGGATCTCCATTGTAAGGCTTTCACAGGAAACACTTCTCGACCCACTGACCACTCCGCAGCCTTACGGCATCTTCTCAGTTGATACCTTATGTTTTCCAAGTAAAGGGCTTATCTGCAAACAATTTTTTTACATAACAAATACTTTTTCAAACTATATGAAAGCTTTCTTCATAGCCTTCTCCTTTATTTTACTTGTTCAGTGGGTTCATATTAGCTTATATTTGTAGTCATTTATAAATTTCCGAGACATTCCACTTAATACATGTCTATTTTATATTCACAAACTCAAATGAAAATATACCTTAATATGATCTCAAAAATATCTTAAGATGACGTTAAGGTTCAATAAAAGTACATAGAATCTACCTCCCATTGTCTCCTGGTTAAGTCTAAAAAGCAACAAAACAAAACAAACAAAAAAATTAGCCGGGCGGTGGTGGTGCACGCCTTTAATCCCAACACTCGGGAGGCAGGGGCAGGAGGATCTCTGAGTTCGAGGCCAGCCTGGGCTACAGAGTGAGTTCCAGGACAGGCTCCAAAGCTACGCAGAGAAACCCTGTCTTGAAAAACAAAAACAAAAAAGACTAAAAAGCACCTACTAGCTCATATGTAGGTGTGCATACTAATTACATGAAAACAATAGAACAGTGAATGGCTTAGAGACTTAAGCTCCTCCCTGGAAGTGCAATTCACCTCATTCTCCTCAGACCCTCCAAGACAGCATTAAAACTTTACCAAGCAGCTGTGTATGGTGGTGTACACCTTTGATCCCAGCATTTAGCAGGCAAACTCAGGCACATCTCCAACTTTGAGGCTGTCCTGCTCTACAGAGGTAATTCCAGGACAGTCAGCACTGCACAGGGAAACCCCGTCTCAAAGAAAAAAGAAAGCAGAAGAGAATTACCAAGTTCCCACAGTGATTTAAGCATATTAAACATAGGATCATAATAATTAGGCATAATTTTATGCATATGGTATTTTGCTTGCTTGTATCCCTGGTGCCCTTGGACAGACAGAAGTCAGCCTTAGATCCCCTGGAACTGGAGTAACAGACAGTTGTGAGCTGCCATATTAATGCTAGGAATTGAACTTGGGTCCTCTGGAAGAGTAGATAGCCAGTGCTCTTAACTACCAAGCCATCTCTCTAGCCTAGCCCTTACAATTAAAGGACTAATTTCAATATTTTTATTTTATTTATGAATTGTTTTAGAATATTATTTTACGGTATGTTAGTTTTGTTTATGTTGCATTTGTTTAACTCTAGGAAGCTGTGTTACTGTGCCTGTCTAAAACACCTGATGGTTTAATAAAGAAATGAATGTCCAATAGCAAGGCAGGAGAAAGGATAGGCGGAGCTGGCAGGCAGAGTATATATAGAAGAAATCTGGGAGGAGAGATTTAGGAGCCAGAGAAGGAGGGGGACTTCAGGGACCAGCCACCCAGCCACCCAGCCACCCAGCTACACTGCAAGCCAGGGAGTAAGAGTGAGGTTTACAGAAGTAAGAGAACGGGAAAGGCCCAGAGCAAAAAGACAGATGGGATACGTAAAGCTGGTTAGAAACAAGCCAAGCTAAGGCCAGGCATTCATAATTAAGAATGAGCCTCTGTGTGATTTATTTGGGAGCTTGATGGTGGGCCCCCAAAAAAGAGCCCCAAAACAACAACAACAATGTGTGTGTGTGTGTGTGTGAGTGTGTGTAAAGCATGTGGAGATCAGAGGACAACCTGTGGAGTCAATTCTCTACTTTGACCACAAAGGTCCCCAAAGATGAAACTCAGGTCACCAGGCTTGATGGTGAACACCTTTACCATTCTGGCAGTATTGAATTTTCAGGTCAATTTAATTAAAAATGGAATCAGCACAAAAATTTAAAAAAAAAAACAACTTTAGAATCAAGACAATTATCTAATGTCAGAATCTGAGAGGATTCGACAGTAATTCTATGCTGAACTGGAATAACATTGGGCCTTCCCTTTTCTTTCTTTTTTTCTTCATTGAGACAGGACCTCACTGTATAGCTCTTGCTGGCCTGGACCTCACTATGTAGTCCAGGCTGGCCCCAGATTCACAAGTTCCTGATGTGTGCCTTAGCACCACCTGGAGCCTCTGGCAGGCTCGGAAGTTGACATACCACTGGAAAGCGGTTTTGCTTCACTTTCCTTTACACATGATGAAAACTGCTGCTGCCAGCCAAACAGCATCTGACTCAAGGTACCCTCAAAGGGAGCAAGAGTCATGGCAGAATCCTTTGTCACCATGGTTACCTTTATAGTCACAAGAAAGATGGTGTGAAGGAACGTGAGATTATGCTTGGTCTGCTGGATTGTAAAGATAGTGACCCGGCAAGGTTACCTTGAAGGGAAGGACATCTCCAGCCGTTCATCAGTCTCGTTTCCAGTCTCCTTTTAGCAACTGTTCATGAGTTGGGACGACAGCACCACCCACACCATGGGCCCATCCAAAAGCTTTCATAACTATCTAGCCACTTCTGTGATAGCTGTGAGCATGTGTGATCCCACCTACTTTTTCCAAGTTCTGATCATGTCTTTGATTCTACAGCCAGGAGTCAAACAGGTAGAAATGAATAGCCCTGGGAAACTAGGTCACATGGGCAAAAAATACAATATACCAGATTAAAGGTGCCAGTAAAATAGTATGGTCTGTAAGAAACCTCAATGGAGGTTCTGCAAGTAGTGTACAGGATAAAAATCCTCCACCAAAGCAATGGAGCATGGCACTCGACAGTTGGACAGGGAATTATTCCATGTTGCTGCCACCCCTTTTATGAGGCCCTAGGTCCAATTTCCAGCACTTCCTGTCCCCACAAATGACCAAATGGATGCCATGCATGAACTAATACCCTGGCCGCTGCTTCAGTACCGTCAGATAGTAGGTGATGTCAAAAAAGAGGAACACAGATAAAGGGGAGAAGGTCAGTCAGCTTGTCCCCTGCGTACTCCATGAGCACAGCCTGAGCAGCTGTGGCCGCCGTTTTCACTGGAAAACAACTGTTGTTTATTTTAATCAATATTTTTCAAGTCTTTCTAAAGTTCCGTGGAATGCACTTTCAGTGGTAGATTTTGCTTTGTAATTTCTGAGAACAGTCCCATAAACAGTAGAATTACATTGGGAAATATTGAACTCTCATTTGTAGGAGAGTCATTGGCTGCTCAGAAGAAAGGATTGGACCATGTGGTATAGAAATGCCTTGGACATGAAGATCAATCAGGACTGAAATTCTCCACTCTTGTACTTCTTCCTTCAATGTTCCTGCAAAGACGTCAACATCCACACACCCTCGGGTCTGACTGGGGCTCCTCCAGATGAAACCAGTACCAATGGAAAAGGCATCTTATGAGATAGATTTATAGTCAAGACCAGAACTCTGCTCAAAGTTATCTGACATGCAGTCTATAGTCACCAATTCATCCGCTGAACACATAGTTACTGATATCTGCCAGATGTCTAGTCCAGCATGAGGCGTTGGGTGTATGACAATGACAAATGTCTCCAGTCAAGTAATAGACTTGGGGAAGTGAGATCCCTACAGCAACCAGCAGGATGATATGCATCCTACCAAGCCCTCCTAACTCCTGCATCTGCAAGTTGCAAACATTACTTCAGCCTGGGAAGCAGCAGACACCCACACCTCCCTGGCCCAAGACCAGGAAGTACAAGAAATCCTGCTTTCACCGTGATTAATGAGATGGGTGCACAAAAGACCCAACAATGCTTCCAGGGGAAAACTGAAATGTGTTTGTGAAGCAGGGCTAAAAGTGGCAGCATTAAATCTAAGCCATTTCCTGTGAGCTGGATTTCTTTTTTAAAAATTGGCCGCCGTATCATTTTCTTAGTCACCTTTTCTCTAGGCTTATTGGAGGCGTAGTCCCTCCTAGCAACCTCCCATCTGCTGGAAAGCAGAATCAGGAGAAAGGAGCCTTGACACATCCCTCACTGATGGAAATACTGGGGGACTCAATACACGAACCACCATTCGTACAAAAAACCTATTAGAGTCCTCTTCAGACTAACAAAATGAGCTGTGCATCCCTAGAGGAGAACAGCTGTTATCCCCTGCTTCTAGTAACGGGAGTATTGGAAAGCGTCTGCAAACCTCTTCCTAATTGCCAGGCAACAGTACGCCCTTAATTCTCTCCAGTTAAACCATTCTCGCTGCAGGCAAAGAAAGATAAGACCCTATCAGAGTCACCTGGTGACTCTGCTCAAGAAGCTAGTGCTGTTAGGAGCCCGGTGTAGCTCTGTGGCAGACTGCACTCCGCGCTGGCGCCCAGCGGGATAGGGAGTGGGGAAAATGGGGAACCCTGCTGAGTTTCTCGTGTCCCCGTGTTTCTCTGACTAGTGAGGACCTGTGGCAGTACAAAATGTTTTTCTTTGTTTTTTAATCAAAAATAGTATTTGTATTTTTTTTTCCTGTTATCAATTACGACATTTATTGATGGGGGGCGTACAATCTCAGTCAGAAGCTTACTATCTTATGTATTGCTTCTGGGTTAATATTAATCAGTCTTCGCAGAGGGTCACATACACAACTTTCTCTCTGGCTGTACGTTACAGGGCAAGGTTTCCAGAGCCCTGTGGTCCACCAATCCCGCGGGGGGTGGGGGGGGGTCATGCATTAGAAGAAGCTTTGCTGGGATTGGAGGAGGGGGTGAAATGTTGAGAAGGTGGAGAATAGGGATCATGTGTGTTTCTCGAATGTACAACCCACATTTGAGTGACAAATGACGAAGACAACCTATAAAAACAACTAAGCACAAATCCACCCGAATCCATCTCGCCCCGGATGCGTGTGCTTTTTTCAACTAACTTTGAGAAGTCACAGAGACCCGGCGGTGCGGCCTGTGCCACCTCACCTCGCCTCCACTTTGGCATTTCAAGCAAGTACCGCCCTCAGAGGTTCCTCTCTTTCCTCCGGACTAAGGATGGAGGCTCCCTTCAGCCCCTCCGTTCTGCCTCCCGCGCCCAACCTCTCCTTATCCATTCTGCCGAGCTGGAGTCTCAACCTGACTTCGGGGCAGGCGACCTCTGTCCCGGGGCCGCAGCCGCCGCCACGCAGGCCACCCAGCCACCCCATCCACCTGGTCTTCATGGGAATCATCCTGGTGACCGCGGTGGCGGGCAACACCACGGTGCTATGCCGCCTGTGCGGCGGCAGCAGCCGGCCCTGGCCAGGTCCCAAGCGTCGCAAGATGGACTTCCTGCTGGTGCAGCTGGCAGCGGCCGACCTGTACGCGTGCGGTGGCACGGCGTTGTCGCAGCTGGCTTGGGAGCTGCTAGGCGACCCGCGTCCGGCTCTGGGAGACCTGGCGTGCCGCTTCTCGCAGCTACTGCAGGCATCGGGGCGGGGCGCCTCCGCCCACCTGGTGGCGCTCATCGCCCTCGAGCGCCAGCTCGCTGTGCGCCGTCCGCAGGGCCCGCAGCTGCCCGCGCGCGCCCTGGCTGCCCTGGGCTGGCTGCTGGCGCTGCTGCTGGCACTGCCGCCGACCTTCGTGGTGCGCTGGGGCGCACCTCCACCTCCGGCCGCCAGCGCCTGGCCGGGCGAGCATCGCTGCGGGGGCATCTTCGCGCCCCTGCCGCGCTGGCACCTGCAGATCTACACTCTCTATGAAGCTATCGTGGGCTTCGCGGCGCCGGTCGCTATCATGGGTGTCTCTTGCGGCCACCTGTTGTGTGTGTGGTGGCAGCGCGGGTCTCAGGCTCCGGTGGCTGGGGCACCCTGGTCGGCCAGTCCGGCCCGAGCCCCCTTGCCCAGTGCACTGCCCCGCGCCAAAGTGCAGAGCCTGAAAATGAGCCTGTCGCTGGCACTGCTCTTCGTGGGCTGCGAGCTACCCTACTTCGCCGCCCGCTTGGCAGCCGCCTGGTCGTCGGAGCCCACGGGTGACTGGGAGGGAGAGGGCCTAGTGGTGGCGATGCGCGTCGTGGAGGCGGCCAACAGCGCTCTCAACCCTTTCGTCTACCTCTTCTTCCAGGCGGGCGACTGTGGGCTCTGGTGGCGGCTACGGAGGCGCCTGGGAGTTGTGTGCTGCGTGCGGGAGGCAGAAGCCGAGATCAACGAGGGGGCTGGGGACCACCAGGCGCTGCACCGCCACCGCTGGCCTCACCCCCACTATCACCACGCCCGGAGGGAGGAGCGGGACAAGGGCTACCTGCGCCCGCCCCCGCCGCGCCCCAGACCGCTGTCCTGCTCCTGCGAAAGTCCCTTCTAGGAGCTGCTGCAGAGACAGGTTTGTCACCGTGGCGCAGTCTCCAAGCAGCCCAGGGCAGGGCGTAGGGGTCTGCCTAAATCACAAAGGATGAACTGTTTCCTGGAACCTCTGAAGCCCTGTCTGCTTTCGTATTTCTTTCTAATGAGGACATGCCTTTCACTTCCCCTTTGTTTTCTTCTCTCCAGTTCCTTTCGTATTGCCCATTTAAAGGAGACCAAACTTGGAAAGTTGTAAAAATCCACCCAAGTTCCAGAGTTATTATTTTTGCAATTCTCTTTTATATTCCCCATTGTGTTCTAGATAAGACCATTTATTTTAACTAAATTGCCAAATTTTCATTCGTCGCTGTGTTATGTTTTTAGTTATTCTGAATTGTGCTTAAGTCAAGTGCATCTTTGGGGAGCAGCAAATCTGCTGTTTCTTCCAAGAAGAAAATCCCCACAATGCTCTTCCTGGGGAGATTATGAGTTCTACTAGCAATGCTGTAGAAAAGTAATCACGCTGCCACTTCAGAAACAGAACATTTGAAAAACAACATTTCCCACGGCGCAGCTTGAACTTTTTTTTTTTTTAATATGGTAATGTGTTTTCTGGGAGGAAAATCGGTCTGGCTTTTGTTTCCAGTCTTAACTTCCACATCAATAAAAACTGAGTACAGGAGAAGAGCATAAAGCTTTCCCTTGGAAAGGCCAATCCTTTCCAAGGCAACCTTTATCCCACAGGACATGGCTATTGTGCCCACACCAGCTTCTAAGCCTGTCCACATCGAGCTTCTAAGGACAAAGTCTTGAGCAAACTAGACGAGGGAAATACTCAGGTGACAAATGACGTGAGAGAGTGGAACTCACTGTTTAAGTGTTAAGGAGATCTGCAGGCCAGCGCTCCAGCGCTGCCTGTGTAGGTGGAGACCCTGCCTGAAATCCTAGCACTCCCCAGCAGGAGCGTTGTCTAATTTGAGGCCAACATAGACTTTGTAATGAGTTCTAGAGTAGTCTGGACTACACTGTTAGACTGTCTGAAACAAAACAAAACAATGCCTAGCTTATTCATGTGGGTTGTTGAGAACAAAATCAGGGAACAGAGTTGATCCGTGACTGCATCCTCTTAACTGTCCTTGCTTCCGGGGGAAGTCGAAGCATTTATAAGCACTATACCCATGTACTTAGCAACGCCCTTCACCTGAGAACGGACAGCTTTCACACATCTTGGTTTCTTGTCAATAGCAAATGTGCCACTAAGAGGCAGTGGGGAAGTAACTGGATTCTGTTTTGTGCCTGGTTATATCTACATACTCCTATAACATGTGATACACAGAGGCACTCAATGCAGATTTGTTGCATAGCTTATCATGAGTCAGATATAGGTAGGTTACATAAAAGATAAACAAAGGAAATCTTTATTTAGTGTGGCTTGCATTCCTCCAGAATTCTTTTTCTTAGTGGATACACCAGTTTAGCCTACAGTAGGCTCTAACTGAATGATTTCGGGTCCTTTGTGCCACTTGGACATTTGGAGCCTGGGGGTTAGCATCATCTTCCCCCAAAGAGGCTAGTCTACCCAGCTGAGCACTGCCAAGAAATGACAGGTATGGGTCGCTACTCAAGGTGCATCCATCTCACTGGCTCAACCCAGCAAACACCCTAAGGTGTTTACTGTGAGAATCTAAGGGCTTCACCTAGCAAAAATGTGTCCTTGCATCAGCTCCTCATGGATTCAACATCATCTCCTCTACCCTCTTGCCCCCAGAGGGCTCTTGCTATAACCCAAAGAAATCTGTCCAAGACAGATCTGGACTAACTAATGCCCCAAAGCTGTCTTCACCTTCTTGGTGACCTGGGTAGGCACCTGCTGATAACCAGACAACCATTGTCTCATATGAGGACATGGATTCTTCTATCTAAACTTGGGGTGAATTTGGCTCTGAATGTTTGATTTTTAATCTTCAGCTCTTTTCCACTGGAGGTCAGCTATGAAAAGCATTTGGCAGTTTGGCCAAATTGACCCTTTAGTATATTTCTCAAGCCCCCTCTGAGCCTTAGTGCTCTGTCCAGAATGCTGGAAGTGAGAATGTTACTATAATCTTGCTCTGTCCTCCCTCAGTCTCCTAGTCATTGTGATCCATGCAAAAGAGTTCAAGTGAGACCCATGGTGTAGAGTAGAAGACAGAGTTTATAAACAAGGGAAAGTGTTCTAAAGATGTGAAAGTGGACAGAGAGACTACTGTGGAAGGAAACAAAGGATGAGAGTGAATAAGGGCCTGAGAAGCCATCGAGAAATGAAAAGCTCTCAAGAGGTGAGATTGAACAGTGGACAGAGAGATAATTGTGGAGGAAATCGTTCTCAAGGGGTGAGAGTGGACAGGAGACATGAAGACTCTTATATAATATTAGAAGGACCAGCCCTAATACTGTACTTCCCAGGGGCTCAGGAGAGAGAACTACCAACAGCGAGGACTGTTTTCAGGAAATAGAATCTCAGCTCTTAGTCCACTCGCTTTAATTCCCCCTTCAGTCTCTAGCTTTAGAGTCATATACCCAAACAATCACAGTTCTCCCCTCCAGCCAGGTCACCAGGCCTGAATTCCTGCAAGGTCATAAAGGCAGGTAAGAGTTTCCCTAGGCAGTGATTGTCAGGCTTTCTTTTTAAACCTGAAAGTGGAGTGGTTAAGGGAGGAGGTCAGCTGAGAGCTAATATCAGTTACTTTATCAAAAAGGGAATTTATATGCTCAGTCTATATTCCTAGGAGTGGTTAGTAAGAAGTTAGGGATCTATAAAGTTAGTAAAGCTGTAAGAAAGGAGGGTCCGAGCTAAATTGTGCGAAGCTATTACTTAAGGTCCACCTGACCTAGGCAGTATCTCCTTGTGGAATTTACCCTAAATCTGGAGACTAGCATGTGGTGGTCTGGAGTGTTATTTCTGTTAGTCCTTGAAAGTGGCTAAGGGAGATATCTGATTCCAATTCTAAAAAGAGAAGAAATGGATGGGCCTGAGGGAAGGAAGTCTTTCCTGAGGTTGTTCTCCAAATACCTTGAACATATATGTACTAATAGGGATCAGTCCACACTGTTAGCAATTCTTAGGAAAAAAATCAATTGGGAAAGCTATGAAGGCTCACATGATTTTCATAACAGAAGACAGCTGATATATAACAAGCCAAATAACACCAAAAGCTCCTTGGAATTTGGCTTCCTCTGAAGAAATTCCTTGATCCCTTCAGGTAGTGGTTTTACCATAACCAGCTAATTTCTTATAATATATTCCTGTGACTCATAGTAGAAGACCATTGTTCCAATCTATGCTTTAAGGCACGCTTTATACAATGTCTTAAAGTTTCTGAAACAGACTACTTCCTGAAGGGCATCTTCTCATCCAGATGATTGACATGCCCTTTAGACTAACTCTTGAGGGAGGGGACAATATCATATCTGTTGTTCTGTTTTGTTTTTACCAAAAATCCTCCCACTAGATGATAACCTTATAATCTTCCTGGCAGTTTAGGATGCCATTTCTCCGCCAGAAAACGGAGATAAAACTCAGCTCTCATTATTGTGAGCAAAAACCAAAGCTCTACAGTTCCTGCTCCTGGTTTTACAAGCTGCTGACTAAAAAGGAAGGGTCAACCCTCAGGAGCTTTCAAGTCTGCTACTGTCTGGCTAGCAGTGTGACAGCAGGGCATGCAGATGTGAGGGAGCACAGGTCGCTATGCTCCACCGGCACACAGACTCCTTCCTAGCAGGCCCTTTCTTGGCCTACAGGGACGAGCCTCCCCCACTGAGTACTATGCTGGGAGAGTGGAGACTGAGAAGATTATGCTCCTGGTTGAGGCCAAAGGACCCCTGAACACCCTTTCCCTTCCTCCAGAATTTGGACAAAACTGTTAAAGAGCTGCAGGTTGTCCTTCCTCTCTTTGCTCCTCCCCACCCTGATGAGGATGTTATGGTCTGAAAAATACCAGGAATAGATCAGCCAACGAGAGAACTCAAGCTTCTTCACAAATCCCAGCCTGGGTTACAGCATTACTTTTATGCTTATTAATAAATATTAACTAATTATTTTATGCTAAGAGATATGCTAAGCATTGGAAAACTAAAATAAACAACACACTTTTGCCTCAAAGAGACAAAGTGGGCAGATGTAGGAGACGATCTGACAATTATGCTTCAATGCCACATGTTTCAATAGAGGGTTTTGTTATCATTCAGGCATTATGCTGGCCTGCCCCCAGGGTCCTCGGCTGCAGCCACTAAGAGCACCTCCTGTGCGCTCCTCAGTACTCAGGCAGGTACACTGGTCAGCTCAGGGTCCTATGGCCACTACATCACTACATAGTCCCTGTGTGCATGCTCTACATCCCCTTATAAAAGGCAGGCCCTAGAAAGGAGAGAGATGGTTCAGCAGTGAAGAGCACTGGCTGATGTTCCAGAGGACCCGGGTTCAATTCCCATGTGTCTGATCACGCCAGGCTTAAATAGATAGGTAGATAGGTAGATAGATAGATAGATAGATAGATAGATAGATAGATAGATAGATAGACAGATAGACAGATAGATGATAGATAGATAAATAAGGTGGGCAATGCCTGCCTCCCACCTTGCCCCTTCTCTCTGCCATTTCTCCCAGAAGCAGACCTCTGTGCCCCCTTCTTTCCCCTCCCCTCCAATAAACCTCCTACATGACTTTTGTTGTATGCTATTGGTGCCATGTGACTCGGCAGGCTTTCCTGGCAGCTCCTCCTGCCCACCAGCAGTATGAGGCATGCAGGGACCCTGGAACCCAATCCACCTGTGACAGCCTCATCTTTCCAATTAGCTGATAGCTGGGCCCCTCCATCCAACACCAATACGTTTGTTGAGTTCCCTTTCGCCCAGTAAATGCTTTCCTGGACCCATGGGCGTGATTGCTGAGCATCTGGCACCCCTCTGGTGTACTTGGAGGTGGGAGAACCCCCAATCACGGCCTTCAAGGCCATGATAGATCCCATTTGCTGACAATCAGCCCTGGCCATTTCCCATGAGTGAAGCTTCATCTCTCGACCATGGTTTCTCACCTCTCAGTTACCCCCCCCCCCCCCCCAGAAAACTCTGATACCAAGGAACCACATGTCTCTCTGGGCCCAGAGTCTCCTAGCCCCCTCTCCTGTGTGACATCATACGGGGCAGCTTGTGTATGCTCAGTCCTTGGCCCCTGCCCTTTGTGTGCCGACTCACTAAGCAGCCTGTGCCTTCTTGATCCTATCCTCCCTGAATTTCTGGGACACTGTATATTCCAAGCCTTTGAATCTTGTTTTTTTCTGCCTCACTCATGGGAACTGCACCTAATACCACAAGTCCAACCTCCC